CACAGCATATTTATCTGCTGCTGTGGGATGCAGCAGGTGCATCTGTGATTGGTCTCATGTGGTTGTTTCTAATTAGTGGCCAATCACAGTCAGCTGCCCAGACTGCATCAAGGCAGTCACAAGCCTTTGTTATCATTCTTTTTCTATTCTTTGCTAGCCTTCTGATGAAATCCTTTCTTGTATTCTTTTAGTATGGTTTTAATGTAATAAATACCATAAAATAATAAATCAAGCCTGAAACATGGAGCCAGCATTCTCATCTCTTCCCTCATCCTAAGACCCCTGTGAACACCACCACACTTAGGTGCAATACATTTATTCCTGAGTAAGAATACACTCCCATTTCTTCCTCCAAGACACCTCATTATCAACATTTTGATCAAAGCACTGTATAGCTTATTAAAAAAGTTGCAATTACTCATTCCAAACATGAACAATTAATTAAAACCACAATTTTCATCATATATTCTATTCAGTATAATGTCAGATGGCATTTTTAGTCCAATAGAGGAAAAGTTTAAATCTATAAATGCCTTTTTACTGCTTGTCAAGTAGCTCAGGTTCAAGTTCCCAATTAAAGGCTACCTTCTACTCCATTGAATGGGGCACAAGGCAACAACTCCATTCCCAAAACCTGAAAATTTTCCCAAACCCAATGGGGAATTTCAACTTGTTTAAAGCTATGCCAAGGTTTCTGAATTTGGCTTCTGTAAAAATTTTATCATTGTGTCTTTTCTCAAGTGTTCAACTTAACATGCATCAGTACCTCTCAGAGACCACACATCAGTAATTTCTCCCATAACTTCTTAATACCACTGGAATTACTTGAGTGCTGTGCATAGTTAATTGCTCCACTTTTCCCACTGCTTTAGTAATAAATTAATATTTAAATAATTTGGGTATAAAAGGGCTATTAAAACAGTCAACACTTGTACTAAGTTCAGACCAAAACCTACATGTTTTCAAACAAAGTAACAGCAAACATTAACTTACTACAAGATAAATTTTCACTTCAGTAAACCAGAAATGAAGTATAAAATGCCTTACCCTTTGTTCCAGAGCTGACTGAGTCTGTTGTCTTAAAAGAGTTTTAAATGGCCCCCCTTCTTTTCCAGCACTCCCACTGCCCATTCCTGAAGAATATCAGTACAAATGACATTCAAAGAAACATAGATTATAATTTGTAATCAAAGAGTGAGTTCAAAATAGATAAAAATGAGTCATTGAAAAAGTCAAATTTTCCCCATAATTTTAATTTCTATGAAAAAGAAAGCATCAAAAATTTAATTTTGATTTCAGCGTTATAGTAGGTTTTCCTTCTCACACAACTAGAAGTGACTTTATAGTATTTGAACAAACCCCCCATCTAAGATTTTTTTCCTGCTGTCACCCTGAATTAAAATCAACTTTAAAATATAAAAACTTAAAGATGTGGGTTTAAAATTCTATCCTACAACATAGAATTTTTGTTATGACTTTTTACCCATGATTTAAATAGTTGTGTATCTCTCACTAATATTATTACAATATTTTTATTTAATAGAAGTAATAAAAATCTGGTTTTCAGAGAGTTTCGGGTAACTAAACCACCTTTCCTAACTACAAGCAGGAGACTGTACACATAATTACAGCAGCAGTTACATAATGCGTGTTTAGGAACAAGAAGAAAGCACAAAGGCAATGCATATCCTTTGATTTGAATATAAACTCTGAAAACAATGAGAAGTTATTTTACACTATGAAATATTCATGTGATTCACTCAAGCTAGGGGACACTACTGCTCAGCATTTAAAACTACACTTATTTGATGACTACATTGGCACGCACATAACCTGCAGATTATGAACACAAGACAAACTCCAATTTGGCATACCATGGTAATTCTGTCTTTCCTTCTTTCAGAGCTTCACCTCCAGCCCTCCCCCAGCACAGCAGGTTTGTGCACAGGAACGTGATGTTGTGCAC